AGAATACGAATGCAAAATAATAAGCTCACGATTTTCAGTGGACAATAGCAAAACTGTATACTTTTATAAATATTTAATAATGTGCATTTGATATTATATTGTTTGTAGTAAAATTTTTATTTTTTTATTTTTTTATATTTTATTTCTTTGTGTTAAATAATAAGACTGATTTAAAAGATTTAATTTTTGTGTTAAAAGAATTTATTTTTTGTGTTTAAAAAATTTAATTTTTGTGTTAAATAATAAAAGACTGAATAGGATTCTATTCTATTCTATGATTAACATTGTATGAACAACATGTAATAAATTTTGTTTTATTATTATATATATTGAGTATATTTATATACAATTCCATATTCAACTCCATATTCAAAAAAAAGTAATATTTTATGGTAATACTACAATATGTACTTTGCTGTAATAATTTGGTAATTTTGGGAATTATTATTTAAGGATATATTTTCAAAGGGGTTCAAGGGGTTAGAACATAAATGCGTTATTATAGGTTATATCTCTACATGCGTTATAGACACTGAGCAGCGCAAAGACGCATGCGTGCATAGACAAAGACAACAGGGGCCCATATGCAGCGTTCTCTTTCTATTCCTATATCGCAGTCTCTTACGTGCGAGCATATGACTCGCGCACTCTATTCTTATATCTCTATGGGTCCAGTCCGTCCAGTCCATAAGAAGTGTTGTTTTTGTCAGGTTGTATGGTCAAGGTATAAAAAAAAACATCTACTAATGCTCGATCATCGGCCTTTTTCTTTTTAATAATTAGTATTGTTTAAACAATTAAAAAAATTGTTTTGTTGCAAAAAATTTTGAAACTTAAAATACATTATCAATGATGTATGTTTTATACATAAAAAAAGTTTAAGAAATATCTTAATAATTATTATTTTACCAAGAATCTTAAATAATTTAATCTGTACAGTAATGCTAAGACTCCATAGACGCGGAAACGCCATGCGGCAGAGTGCGTTGACCAATCACAAATTTTGATTTTGTCGCAGGCGACTTGCGGCAGCCTTCTGATTGGTCAACGCACTCCACCGCACTCTTCCTTGAGCTCAAAAAATAATCGACTGTGATTGGTCTATTATCTTACGGCCTTACGATTATAACTAAAACTTTGTTACGTGCAATGGCCTTAAGTTACTACAAAATCCCGTTTACGCGAAGGAATTATCGTAAGTTACTGCAGAAGTAACGCTCGCGTAAACGTAGTAGGAGTGCGAGAAAATGAGTGAAAAGCCGTTTACAACGCGAGCTAAAAAGTGTTTAGCTTTGCGAACGCCCGTGCTACGCGAATGAGTCGAGCTCCTCAACAGCCCTGAGCCCGGCATGGGCAGCGTCGATTGACGTCATCGATAGGCGGCCAAGATGGTTGTCAATGTTGATAAGTGGTTTGGTTATACGGCGGAGCGGCGACGATAAACGACCGGACGGGGGTATCAAGCGTGGTCGGCGTTATGCCCGTCAAGTGAGAGCGAGAGCCCGTATTGATGAGAATTCGCGCGTTGGGTTGGCCGTCGCGCGAGGAATGGCAGCCTATGGGGACGTGGAGAGCGTACGACGTACCCTGGACGTCGCGCAAACTATGATTAACTTCACCGCCGATCAGCTCGACGATTTGCGGACCCAATGCTCCGTTACCGCGGAGCTGACCCAGCAGGAGATAAGGATGCTGGAGGTGAGGGGGCCCTCCACAAGTCCGGCCGTACCCCTCGCCCCTCGCGCGCGAAAATCAGGACCGATTTGCCCCGACGACGCTGGTCGTTGGCGCCTCTCTTTCTCTCTGTTGATCGTCAACATAGTTGCAACCGCGCCGTCTCGCCGTCGTTCAAAGCCTCGAGAACCTCCGGACTCCGTCATGTCGGCGGGAACGCCGAAAATATCGTGCCCCGCCGTTCTCCGCGTTATGACAGCTTCAGCTGTTTACATTTGTTTACATTGCTCTTGAGAATGCCTTCTTCCTGCCGTTTCCTTGTGAATGAGAAATTTGTCATGTCACTCCGTTGATAGACACGGATAATGTCACACTTAAGATTTATCTGTAATTTTGAGATTATGATATAATGATCGTAATCCCAAAATTTAACATGTTTTTGTAGTGAAATTTATGGTCATAGGAAAGTTATAATATGACATTTGATATACATAATTTTTAATCCGAGTATAAAATGTGCAATATGTCGTGTTTGAGTGTTGTATGCTTATCTTGAATAAATATATGTGTCCAGTTTGTGAGATTGAGAAATTTGTGATGTTATTACGATTCCATTGAAAGATATAGATAATATTATTTAAAATTTATATACGTTTATGGTGGGATTATGGGTGTAATGATTGCTTAAAATGTTTTAGTGGTAGAAATTTGCAGTCTTGTATATGATACTCGATATAAATATAAATAATTTTTACTCTCGGTGTATATTTCGTATTTGAGCATTGTACCTTTATTTCAAATAAACACACAATTACGGTAATAAACAACGAAGCTTAAAATTAATATACGTGTACATAATATATAAATTATATAACTTTGTAGAGATTAATACTTAATATGTGTCAGAATAGCGGAATAAGATTTATCTATATTTAAATAAATAATTACATATATCTATATATTTAAATATTTTTTTATAGGGGAAATTAATAAAGTTATACTGCAAACAACTTGTGGCAAAGGCCAGATTGGCCAACCCGTTGCCGTCAGACATAATAGAATATCCATCGTTACAACAATGGTTGCGGGTAGTCGGTCTCACTCAGGAATCAATTCAGGTAACAATTATATGAGCACAGATATGAATAGATTTTTTATGATTTGTTACGTTTATTATTAGTTTTATTACAATTTAAAAATAAATTTAAATGACATTACCAAACCAAGTCTTAATTTCTGTTTCTTTAATGCCCTGTTATAATATTTTAGATGGTTTGTTTCAAAGTTAATACTCTTGAAGACCTGAGAGAGAAGTCTGAACATGAATTAAACAGTATGTTAAATAAAAATTGTATATACTACAAGGAAGAATGTCGTAGGCTTCGTAAAGCACTGAGTAATTTATGGCGATACATGGGTAAATAAAATTTTATATTATTGTAAAAACAATTTATTTTATTTGTATATATCATAAATAACAAAATAATGGATACATTTACTATTTTTGTCAGATATTCTAATAAAAGGAGATACGGAGAATGATTCAGATTTATACTGGGATTCTTGGGACAGTTACCATTTACGCAAGGAAATTTGTTCTAAGCCAATTCTATCTCGTCAACGGTGTTCTATTCCATCAGAGAGTAGCATTCCATATCATAATAACAACAATGATGTATTACCAGCAGCTTCTGCATCTTTGATACTAAGTAGTCCTCCTTGTATCTCTTCATTACTAAAGCAAGAACGTGGTAA